CACGACGGGCAACAGACGACGCACGACGGGCGATGCACGACGGGCGACGCACGACGGACGACGGGCGACGCACGACGGCAGATATGGAATTCCATACCACACCCCCAGTTCCGGCGGCCTTGCATAAAATAAATAATTCAAAACGATAAGCAATGCATGCAAACGCCATCCTAAATAAATAACTTAAAGCGGCCTCTTGAGGGCTTTGTATATCAGACGAGGTCGCACCGTCTGATCTGATGCGGGAAAATGTGGCAGAAAGTTCGTGTTTCGCGCCAAGTTCAAAGTCAACGGTTATATTTCAAGTTATGGAGTCTACGTTTCTCTTGTACCTGATGTGGAAAATCATGACTGTACAACTATACAAGGGGAGCTGACGTAAACACGCCGAAGATGAGGGAACGGACAGCCTTGGGTGAGTGTTTTCTAGAACATTAGGCCTAGGTTAGGCTAAACCTATAGAGGGACTGCAGCGTATGACGTCACGTTAGAGGGTATTCCTTTCTTCCTCTACAATAGGCTCGAGTAAACCTTTGTGCATTCATTGTCATCATTAAAATCTAAATAACAAAACTTGTCCTGTGGGAGGGCGCTCTACGCAGGCCCTCCAGTCGGGTATAATATACTAGTGTACTAGGTTAACATGTATTAACGACGAACACTAGCCATAAAAATTACGTTACCATTGGGAGTTCTGGTAACCTTAAGGTAGATAGGCTTGGAAGTTGCGATGTTGTGAACAGTGATTGCATTAAACTCACACACGTACGAATGACCAATGGCAGACTCGGCCGGGAGCAGTGACAGTCAGACAGCAACAATGAACCTGACTGTTTGAGACTGCATCAGTGCTGTGCTGCTTTGTTCTGGCTTTGTCATGACGCCTTCAACCAGGACAAGGTGTAGGCCGTAGCTGTCAGGTTTACCTATGTTTTGGTTTGCTTCACAACCCCACTTTACAATCGAAAACTAGGCCAATCCTTCAGAACTATTTATCACAAAGAAAATTTAAGACGGACGTCAATGGTGGGAGAGAGAAGAATGGAAACTATATCACGTTGGCCTACATGTACATGTAGTGAAGTGGTCCCTTGAAAAGGGGAATTCTCAATCTGTGTCTGACCTTGTTGAGTACTGAATGGTACATCAGTGCTGAAGTGTAATGTGAAGGAACATGCATGCACTTAGTAGTGGAGATATGGAGGTATCCTACTTCACGTTATTCAATGGTTCCCTGCCACGTCAAAGAAACAGTCATTTAGTACCAGTTGCAAGGAGTCTTATTTGCTATGCATCTTATACGCCGATTGGGGCTCAGAATGGGTAATTTATACCACTCTGCGTCTTCCCGTTGAGTTGAGTGCACAAGTTTTTTCGCAAAAGTCGACTGCGGAGAGTGATCACGCCCTCAACAGTTGAAACTTTAGTTACTGCTCTCGAAGCTGGCATTGATCAACAAGCGCTAAAATTACGGTTCTTTGAACACGTTTGCGTCGTTTTGAACAGGTTAAAATTCAAGTTACATATCAGCAAATTAAGTTCACACCTCGGAAACTTTACAAATGGCACAGACTATAAATAGAA